TGCAACCTCCTCTCTAGGGTGCTCTACCACAGAGGGTGCCAGCTCTACCCACCGTGCCCTGAGGGTGCAGGCAGGTCCCGGTAGTAGCAAGGCTGCCCGCCTCCTATTCCAGGCTTAGCGGGCGCTGCAGCGATAGGTCGAGAGCCTGTGCACAGCACCCGCTCTTCCGTCTACGGGGCGCGTCTGCCCCCGCACACCACCTCCACTCCCCTCCCCTTCGGCGAAGCAGAAGCACGAGTGACGAGCAGGTAGAGCCACCTTTGCGGTTCGTGATTAGGTGACATCTGATGTCGTTTTGGCCTCTTACTTCCGAGTTCTTGGCCGCCAAGTCTCATTCCCGAAAGGGCTAGGGTGGTACGCGTGCTCCATGAAGGACTCCGCTACGCGCATTTTTTTATTTTTGTTTTGCTCCCACTCGGATAGCTACATGGGGCCCCGACCCCCATTGGATGCCTCCCGCGACCACCACATCTCGCACCCTTCAGTCTCATCTCTGCCGATCACGCTGCTCCTTCTACATCCTCGACCATGGCTTCCCATGTGACGGAGGTGAGAGGGGTGACAGGAACGACGGATCAAGTAACATGATGCCTCGAATCCTAAAGCAAGGGACAGGGAGAGGGAGAGAGAAAATCTTCATTGCATGCCGTTCTAAAGACGCAAATGGCCTATAGACCTCAACGCGCGCTAATCCGACCTCAAGGTCCAAGCTACAGAAGGAAGGCGTCAGATGCCTTGCCCCAGTGTGCCTCTTTGAGGGCACCTGAGCAGACCAAAACGCCGGTGTAGATGCTCAAGTCGCAGCGAGGGTAGCCCCTCCCGAACGCCCAAATCCGTCCGTTCCATCAATCCATCATGGGGACAAATAAAATAAAGACACCGTCATCCCTCGTGAGCCGTGTCATTCTAATTGGACAAGACCGTCAACGCATGAAAGCTTCGCTTCGAGCCTGTGCGGCGCCTCACGTGGCTGCCTTCTTCTTGCGACCGCCGCGCACCTTCTTCTTCGGCTGCTCGACCTCCATCTCTTCCTCGGAGCTGGTCTCGGCCTTGTTGCCGCTGCCGCCTCGCTTCTTGTCGTCCTCTCCCACCTTGGCCGCGATGTCGGCCAAAAAGTCGTACTGGCCGTCCGTCTCGATGACCTGCTTCAGCATTTGCGCCGTGACGCGCTTCGAGTTTTTCTCCTTGGCAATCTCGGCACCGGCGGTGACCACGTTGATCATGAAGATCTCCAACGCCTTGCCCACGGCGATGGGTGTCTGCTGGGCTACTTTGCCGACCTCCTCGTCCGCCTGCATGATGCGCTTGATGCGCGCCGTCGGGAATTTGGTACGCACCGGCGAGGGGTCAATCTCAGGCGGAGGCGGCGCCTGCTGGGTGTTGCGACGCGGGGGCATGTTCTCTTTGCGCTGCTGTTCCTGCAACGAGGGTGGGATGTATTGCGGATGAGAGAGTGTTCGGTGGTGTGTGTTGCCGAAGTGCGGCGCGGCACCAAAAGGCTCTTGTTTTATATAAGCTTGGTGCGCAGGGTGTGTCTGCGGCGGCGGCGGTTGTTGCTGCTGTTGGTACTGGAGAGCCACAGAAGGTTGGTGGCCGTAGAAAGTTTGTGCAGAAACAGATGCCGGTCCAGGTGGCGAGGCTTGACTTGGCTGTCGCGGTGAGAGCTGTTGCTGTTGCAGGTGTTGGGCGTGATGCTGCTGCTGCTGCTGATGTTGCTGCTGGTACTCGGGAGGGAGGTAGTGAGGCTGCTGAGGAGCGGCCTGTGGTGGCGAATACGGAGACTTGTGGAGGTATTCACTCTTGATGGCGGCAGGCGGGTAGTGGGGCTCTTGTTTGACAGATCCCAGGCCAATGTCTGGAGCTTGTGCAGGTCCAAGAACTGTAGGTCCAGGAGCTAGAGCAGGCGGGTTTGTATAGGGTTGATGGTGGTTGTTGGGCGGGCTAGGAAGTTGCTGCGAATGGGTTGGGTACTCATAGGGTGCGACCGCCGCCTGCAAGTGATGAAGCTGTTGCTGGTGGGGGTGGTGCAGGTGCTGGGGGTGTGCGTGCGGGTGCGGGTGCGGATGTTGTTGCGGTTGCAGTCCTGGTCCAGACGGGTGCAATGGGGGTTGCGTTGGTAGTGGTAGCGGTGCTGCTGCTGCTGCTGCTGCTGCTGCTGATGGAGGGGTGCGCGAAGTGGGGGCTGCCGAATAGAAAGAAGAGAGGTCGGGGGACTCGGGCGCGTACGGTTCCTCTGCCATGTTTTAATGTTTTGGGGGGGGGAACAACTGGGGCCTTTGGCCTTGTTAAAAAAAGCGCGCCTCTAAATTTTTTTCCCTTGGAGGGGTAGGCGGCCTTGGTGGGTATTTCCCAGTCTCAAGTCCAAGCTGGTTTTTTTTTTTTTTTGGTTTGATTAGCCAACCAGGGGAAAGCTTATGATGGCTTGCGCTTCGAGATGAAGGGAAGTTTCTTCCCTACCCCCTCGAGTGATCTCGAGGTATAAGTGCCGTGGTGCGAGGCGAGGGAGGAACTCTACCTTGGCGGCTGTGTTCGTGGGGTTCGAGTGGAAAGAGGAGCGGCGCAAGGACACCACAGCTCGGCTGCCGGCCGGTCGCTCCGGGGCTTGATATGGAGGGGGGATACGGCGGCGATTTGACGAAATGGAGGTCCCGCGTCTCCTGTGAATTTACGGTACAGATGCAGCCCGACTTGGGAATGTGGAGGCAGAGTCCGATTGGAGATGGCAAACACACCGCCACTACGCAAGACAGCGCAATCTTCTGAAGGAGGACAAGTGCGCTGCAAGGAACTGACAGAGGGCCCTATCAAGAGGTGTGATGGGGGGCGCAACTCGCAGGACGCAGCAGGACTATGCCTCTAGGTACAGCAGAAAGCACAGAGCGACTAGGCGTCAGGTGGGACTAGTTGGTGCCTCTCGTGTCCTGGAGAATGGTCTCCTCACGGAAGACCGCGGGGAGGGTGGGATGAAAGCTGCGAATGGTTGCTCTTGCAACGACAGGAATAAATCCGACAGTCTGGATGCCTTCACCACGCGAGTGGATTGGGGGTCGACCAGTGAAAGCAGGGCCCAAAACCGACAAAGCCCAGCAAACGCCAGTCCCGAGGGAGCAAGAGAAAGCTCAACGGCAGAGGGGGCAAAGGACCCAAAGATGACAGGGCTGATGAGAAGGATGCTTCGAGCTCGAGGAACCGCTAGTCCTATTCGGGTGGTGTTGTGTGGTCGGTGCGTCGACGCGTCTCCGTGAGATGACGGGAAGGGTTCTGATCGCGATTTGGGTGGACTTTGGGTTGGGGGGGGGGGGGGGGGGGCGAGTCGGCGCCGGGGTGGTCCGTACGTTTCCTCAGAGAATGGGAACTCAAAGGCAAAGAGAGAGCCCAGACTGAGCAAGTCGAACAAAGGGAATGACAAAGAAATGAAGGACCCAGCAGAGATGGGCACTCAATCAAGGCCGTTCTAGAAGATGAAATAATAAAATTGTCGGTCTCTCTCAAAAGTAATGTGTGAGAGAGTAGGAGTGATGACGCTAACCTCAATGGTCGATGACGGCAGTGGTCGAATCAGGAGAGTACATTGTCTTGATGGTGGAGGACGGGCAGGCAGGGCGTCCGGGGGGGTCCGTCTTGGGCGAAGGGAAATGTCGCGTTTATATGCGCATCGTGGGTGAGAGAGTCTTCCCCTCAGGCCCCTCTCGCCTTCAGGCGCACCTCCTGTGCACCAGCAAGAACAGCTCCCGCTGGCAGGGGGGAAGGGGGGAAGGGGGGAGCACACGCTCAGCCGCCAGGCCACAACCGGCAGGGATCCGCAGGAGTACCGCCCCCAACCACTCACATCTCGCCGCAGCATGGTACTTGCCCAGTGCTAGGCTTGACGCGCCAGGTTAGGTATGAACGATTATCGACCAGCTGCTCCTGGCCATGACAGCCTTGGATTTTTTTAACCTCGTACAGAATGCAATGTACCTGCCTACCTACTTAACCTACCTACCCACCTAGGTATTTTTCAAGATGAACCTCGTTGACATCGTCCGACGCGAGATGCCAACCATGAATGGGCTGCGCTCTTGGCACTCTACCACCTGACGTGCTCGCAGCTCGAGCTCTCGTTCACTTGCTGGAGAATCAAGATCAGGGCTCTGTCTGGCCTCTCACCTCTCTCGCACCAGGCACAACTTCTTCTCACACATGAAGGCAATCAAGCACGTCACGCTCGCTGCACATCTTCGTCAGAGTAGGCATGCTCGGCTGCTGCCTGTTCCAACTCGCCATGCATCCGTTTGGCCTCTTGTCTGACAGCTTCACGGTGACTGCCACCCACCTCTACCCGGCAAGATACTGCGACCGACGGGACGCTCTCTATAACCTACCCAGCCATGTTACCAGCCATACCCACATGCCTTAGTCAACGTGTCCGTGGACGGCCTGGAACTTGGGCGTCTCACCCTAATGACACTCCTAGGATCTCAGTCACGTTCCTTCTGGGCACGATGGCCCGTCCTCACCTCGAATGAGCCGCACGGTCGCCATCCTCGGTACCACGCGTCAACAAGCTGGTAGTACGAGCTAGGTGCCCGTCATCAGTCAGCCAGTCAGCCAGCAGCAGGCCGTGGCCTCAGCTTCCGACGAGACCCACGCAAACTGCACCGTTGACTATTTCTAGTGCCATCCGAAGAACGCACACGCTACAGATCAACAAGTGCGGCTCCAGCATGCACGACATGGCCTCGCCAGTGCGCGAAAATTTGACAGAACAGCTCTATAGGTAATGGATCCCCGTCTTCTATGAAATTCTCAAGCCCTTCCTCCCTGCGTATGATGATTACGATATGAGCCTAAAACGCCCGAGACCGCTCATCGCACCGACGACCGCAGAAGCCGCGCCGCGCTGTCGCCGGCCCTGGTTTCGAGGTTTCTTGCTCGAGGTCTGAGACGGACCTGAATAACTTGATCTAATCTGACGCCCATCCCTTCTTTCCCCTTTCCTCCTCAGTCGACCCCACTCGTCAGAGTATGTGTTTTCTAATGGATACAGTTAGCGTTCTCAGCCCCCTCAGCCGCTGTTCCTCCGCGCTCGACAAGAATAGCGACGCCACAGGCCACGCGTGGATCCCTCCCGTCTCCTTACGGCTGTCTACTTCGGCAGAGCGGACGGCTGTCTTGATGAATTCCTTGATCTCGGGCGCAAACACCTCCTCAGACCCGTACATGACGAAGAACCCGCAGCGCGGACTGGCATTCGCCCACAACTGGCGGTCCGTACACAGGCCCGGTGATGCCGTATGGTCTGATATGTGGTCTCGGCCGGCATACTGCATGGCGTACTCGTGCAACTGATACTTGTCGAGATAGTCACTCGTTGAGTTGTCGTGCTTGTCGGATATAAGCGTTACCCACGGTGAGATGAGGACCGCTAACCCCGGCAGGGGTGTCTCGTATGCGCTCCTCCAATACTGCTGACGCTCGCTGTTCGGCACCTCCTGCTCGAACTTCTTTTTACACGCCCTCGCGCTGCTCAACTGGCCGAGTTCCAAGAGCATCGTGAGCACGAGTGTGCCTCCCGCAGAATCTCCTCCCACTACGACCTTCGCGGGATCTCCCACTGCAGAGAGAACATGTCTATAGCCTCTCAATGTCTCGTGCACTTGCGCAGGATACGTTTGGTCGGGCACAAGCGAGTACTCAAGCGCAAAAATGGCCGGGTTGCGGTACCCAGCTTTGCAAAGTAGCGCATGCCACGCAAGCAGAAACTCAAGGTAGAAGTATGTCGATCCCATGGCGAAGCCGCCGCCGTGCACGTAATAGAGGACCATATCAGGCACCATGGACGGGTCCGCGCTGATCCAGATGCCCCGAAAGCCATCCGGTCCCTGTACATTGTTAGTTACAGATCAGTCGTCCACGGCGAACTCTCGACTCACCTCCTGCTTGTACTCTTTCCACGTGACGGGCGACCTCACAAACCCATGGCGCGCCATCCTCCACCGTAAAAACGGCAGCGCCACGGCCTTGGAGAAGAAGACGCGCCCGACATTTGCTGGGATCTCTGCGAAGGCATACCGCACGCACCGTATGACGAGATCCTCAAATAACGTCGCCCGCGCCACGAATGGCGACCGCTGGTCGCGTCGTAGGATGAACCTCTCCTTCGCAAGCGATGCCGGCATGCGCAATACCAGAAAGGGCAGAGCGCGTAGCGCGAAGTAGATTGTGCGGAAGAGGCCAATGTGGAGGATGAGCTGAGGTGCAAGAAAGACGCAGAAGACGGCGCAGTCGATGAGGGATACGGGGCCGAGAATCATGTTTGCGACGTGAAGAATATTCTCAACAGTTGAACGAAAGAAGAAGGAAAAAAAAGAAAAAAAGTATGTGGATATAGTGATTCTAAAAGATTGAACGATGTCGCGTTGCGAGAGGCTCTAGGTGGCTAGGTGATGTTTGAAGATGGTGCAGATCCCGGAACGTGCAATGGGAACAGTGTCAACTGGCCTTATGCTTTGGGTACCTTTGTCGTCTGTCAGGGTGCATTCGCCATCCCGGCTGCTGAATGACAGGCTATCGCACGGCACGCTCGCACGAAGCAGGTGCTTTGAACATATGAAACCGCGCAGGAAGCTGGACGAGATGGATGATGGTGAGATGAAGTCGCGGCTGGCGTAGGGTGGTGACGTAAGGCACCTACTCCGTCGCCCATGGTCTGGCGCGTCCTGGTACCTACTTTGGTCAGGTAGGCAGTTTGGTGTACCGAGCACGACTCGAGCATCTTCTAACCTCAACAGGATGCCAAGGGGGGGGCCATCTACCGCCCCCTGAGTTTGGTAAGGTAGGCAGAGGGATATTGTCTTCACCAATTGAAGATGGCCACCGCAGCCTTGGGAGTTCGAGTTATATCTGGGCACAGGGCTTAATGATGCTGATGTATTTCTCGATTGATGCATGTATGCTAGGTGTCTTGTCGTCACTTTCCTCGATTCAGACACCACGAACAGCCATTTAGTGATCTCCGTACGCCATGTTACCAAGCCAGAGAACTCCCATAATCCCCGCAACCTTCCACTTGAGATCGCTTTCTGGAATGGCTGTGTCTTCACTTCGAACTCCTGCTTCCTCAGCATCGACATCCTGCCGTGATTGGCCAGCAGCTGCCTCATTGAGCCTGCCGCTCGTGTCCTGCGACGCTCGCCGAACTTTGGTCAATGACCCCTGGTCGCCCGCCTTTGGCCCAAGCCATTGTGTGATCTTTTGCGTAGAATGCCTGCATCTGATAGCCGCCCACAGGAACACAATAGTTAGGACCGTCAGCTCTGCCGGTCTGGCGAGCGAACTGGCCCTGGTTCCGTGCCGGCCTGCTGAGCCGATCCGGAGGATGCTCGTCCCATCACCAGCCAGCCAGATGTGATTCTTCAGGATAGATGTCTCCAAGGAGATGCGACCAAGCGCTATAGCTCCAGCCATCTGACGCTGCCTCAGCCTACGGTGACAATTCCGGACGGCCAATATTGCCAGGACCCCCCAAGGGCTTGCATAGGGGTGATAGGCGTCATAGGCACGGTTGTCGCTGTCTGACCTGGCTGTGAATCCCAATATACCAAGGGCGACGAGGTATAGACCGGAAAACGTAATCCATATTGAAATGACGGAAATCGCATCTTTGCCTGGATAGATCATGCCAACGAGTTCCCGGTCCAGGGCATAGTTGAGCTTGTCGAACGGAGAGCCAGTGTCGCCTAGTATGCTCTTTCCTCCATCTTGCTGCTGCTGCTGTAGAACCGTGAAACGATGGACCACCGCTGCAACCAGTACGCCAGCCATGGGGATGAACCTGTCAAGTGAGACGTGCAAATGCACTTTCTGAACATCCCAGACAACACCAAAACACTTATTTAGAACCAGAAGAATGCCACCAACGACCCCTGGGGTTTTGATGATAACAGAAGTCATGACACCGGCTGTCAGCACCTTCACCATGAGCAGAGTCAGGTTCCTGTTCAAGTGTCTGAAGCTTGCCAATGTTGCATAGGTGACGAGGAACCAGAAGCTGGCCAAGGCAGAGAAGTACTGCGTAGCCCATTGGGTATCCGACATGAACGATAAAAGACAGCTAAGAACATTGAGTCGGCATAGGACGTGGGCTGCTCGTGTGAAGGAGAAGTCCTCGGTTCTCAGAAAGTATCGCGCGTGGCCATAACATGAGAAAAAAATGTAGGCAGATACAGATAATCGGAACGGCAGGTGCATAGCTGGTATCTCCGAAGCGCCGTGAAAATCGTATAGCAGAAGGAATCCTTGCATCAGGCCTTTCAACTCTTCGGTCTGGTCGCGGCCTAGGAATGACACGGGCTTGTGATGTGTTGGCGCCAGAAACCCCGCTCGACTCGATCGGACAGAAGCCATTGCTAGGACAGCCAGCAAAAGGGAGGACCATGCGACGGATGACGTGTCGAATTGCTTTGCGATCTTGTCGAACAGATGCGTTCTATCAGCGAGATAACAATAACCGGCGATGGCGAGCATGTAAGCCACCGCGATCAGCGCTGAGATAGATCGTCGAGCTCCTGAGGCCTCAAAAGCTTTTTGGTCACTGTCCAATGCCAACCAGGGGAGACCAAGCAACGCCAACAGCAGGAACAAAGTTTGGCCTCTGGTCGGAACCGAGTAAGGAACACAACATGTGATCTCGTTCCGCCATGGGCTGCTCCTCGCCAGGCCAGTATTGCAGCGAGCGTTAAGCATGATGTTCAGACGCCAGTCCGCTACCCTATCCAGCACATGAAATCCGTCTTCATCGTATGCGTCGTTGGGTCCTTCAGTCATGAGGTTGTAGCTCCACATAATGTGCGACTGATCCAGGGAGGCAGAGGTCTCGAGATTCCAATTCATTGCGCTGATCTTGGCGGGCGTGATCTGCTCGCCTCTGCTAAAGGAGAGCCTGTCGTAGGCGGGAAATTGCACCGGCGCAAGCACAACAAGGTTGGACAGCTCATCATACGCCGCCTGCGCTTTAGAACTAGGGACATGGATGCTGTCATCGATGTTGCCATGAAGATAGTGTATCACGGTATTGATGCCTTCGCTAAAGGTCTCAAGATATCTCGTGCCGGCATTGCGTGCGGCAGAGAGGCCCGGAGTGCCCAAGACGACGACGCTGGGAGAGTCTCGGCCCTCTTCCTTAGCTGTCTTTTCGTGGCCGGCTGTTCCGGGGTGCAATCTGAACTGGGATAACTGGCCAAAAAGGGCTGTGGAATTCAGCCACGGATCCCAGACGAAGTCGAGTTGTACATGGTGGACTAGAAAAGAAAGATCCACGGCCCTGTCTTGGAGTAGGGCAAAAGTGCGAGCTTCTCGCTCGTACATTTCTTGGTCGAGACGTCTGAGGGCTGCCCAGAATAGCTGACGGATGGTCGAGTCGCCGGCAAAGACGAGGCGACGTCCTCCGAGGCAGGCCTTGACATCATCCGCGCGATATGTGTGAGCTGTGCAGCTGCTGGGGTGCCAGGCCTTGAAAACATCTTCAGGATGACCAGAGTGCCCTCGAGGCTGCCAACTGCCTTCTGCAAGGAGGCCTCTGCACTTGAGGGGGTCATGTCGTCCTATGCGTGTTAACCTCGGTAATGCCAGCACAGAGGTCGATGAAATACCATGATGAAAATACTGAGATGCTATTGACACCAACAAGACGAGAATGGCGACGTGAGGCACGTGTCGCAAACATGCCTGGAAGAACTTGGCCAGTGGCGCCAGTTTTTGATGGTGGCGCATTGGATTTCTGAGTCTGCGATACCAGGACAGGTACAAGGGGAAGGAAGGCTACTGTTTACACGCGTCGAATGGGTGGTGACATCGCCACAGGCAGAAGATGGAAGATTTGAGACGGAAAGTCTGATAATTCGATGCTCTCGCTGCGCAAGACTTTCTGGACAAGTCAGACATCCACCCTCAGCGTCCCTTGACCAGGGCGTTCGTTGAGCATCAGGCAGGCACGCCCGGTGAAGGTGGAAGGGATACATGATCGGCAGCAGTCATGGAGACACATTCCAAAACATGGAAAGCTTGTTCGTCGCGCAAGTTCCATCAACACGTTCTGCATTCCCAGCTATGAAGCAGCGTGCTACTCAATTTTGGTCTCTTTCCTCCAAGGGTATTCAGCGAGGCATTGAAGCGTCGGTAGTGATGAGTTTAATGGGAAACGACGCCGCCAATTGAGGGACTCGATGCTTGACAACGGAGCGACTGACTGCGGGCTTTCAGTCCGCTATTGCTGTCTTTCCACTGTTCCAGGCGGGTGTAGTGGGGCCATGTCTCAATCGGCACAGCATGGGTGCCGAATTTCTGCCGATGTCGACCTCAATTTTTCGTGCCACACAACTCCAACCCATTCAACGTCCATTATTCACCACCACCCGACGACGAACGCCAGGTCTAGCACGAGACACCGTCACAATGCGCGGCCTACTGGCAGCCGTGGACGAGCAGTCGAGACATCTCAATGCAGCTTCAATCAAGCCGTTGAGCTTTCTGTGTCGGAGCAAGCGCTCAGCTGGATCATCGCAGCCTACCATACCCTATCCTTACCTTGTTTTCCCCCTTATCCGCTGCTGCCTTAAGCCGTCTCTTGCCATGCTCGGTCAGTCAGCCCCCAGCTTCTGATCTTGAGCCGGATACACCCTGTCGACCCCCCCTAGGGAGGATGATGGGGTCGTACGAGACGAGAATATCTTCAGGCAACTATCTTTGAGTGCGGAACCTATCTCTTCCAACATGGAGGATTTCGCAATTAATCAGTTGGCACATCCCATCCCATCGCGTGATTTTGAACCTGACAACGCAACATGCTCATTGATTGCCCACCTTCTCCTTGGTCCGCCCGTGTGATACCCCTCTTCTCGCGCGCCGCTGTCCGACTCCTTGATACGTGCTCGCGCAGCCAAGAGACGCAAGTAGAAAAGTCCGTCGTCTTGGCCGGCCTCCAAACGAAGGCTTCAATCTCGTTGCAGCCCAACACAAGACTTCGATTGACCGAACGAATGAATCATCCATCCTATGCTGCCCAGCTTCTCGCCCAGGACGCCCACAAAAGGCTTGTCCGTGGAGACTTGGGAGCTCTCGAAAATTGGCTCCAATAACAGACACCCCCCTCCCCCCCTTCCTCAATTTCAGCAAGAGCCAGAAAGCCAAGCTGCGCGCTCTTTCCCCTCCACCAATCGATTACCGTCGAGGTCCTCCGCCCAGGCAAATGTCGCCATTCGTGTCAAGGTGTAGATGGCCTTGGCTTCAGGCTCGGCGGCGCTCAGTCAGTCGAATCGACGAGGGCCATGTCCAGCGAGAAAGGGGGGGGGGGAGGGGCGGTTTTGGACCAGCGCGTGCAGCAACCTTGACGTCCACACAAGATTTTGACGCCGTCCGGCGCTTGGCCGTGTCAAGCTAAGGCCAATTTCACCCGCAGTGCAGACCAACCCCAGAGGTGATCGCCCGCCACGATGCCACGGTAGGGAGGGTTAGACGGCTTCTGCTGTGCCTCGCTTTCGCACACTGTCCTCGGTGCTCGGGCCAAAGGAGTGTGGGGAGCCGACGATGGCCTATCGGGGAGGAGAGTGCACATTGGCGTGGTCTGCACTCCGCAAAAACTAGTCGGCGGATGGGCATGACGTAAAAAAAGAAAAAGGGAGAGCGCAGCAGCAGATCCTGGGGGAGCGGGAGACGGCAGTGGATGGAAGGATGGAGAGTTAACCACAACGGGAACCACTGCAGGGCAGGGCGACGATGCGAAATGAATCATTATTTCAATATCCCCTGATAAGACTGACGGGGGAATCACGATGAGGGATGATGCCGTATTGGGGGGTTTCTCTGGGCTTCTTTCTTTTTAGTTTTTTACTGTTTTGATTGATTGCCTCTAACATAAGGTAATGAGATGTCCCGTTCGGCCATTAAGCCCTGAACTTCGCGAGGCTGCGTGTTGCCCGACCCATGGAGTCGAGACGCTGCCTTTCGCGTAGCCCATCTCCCCCGTGTACCGGTGCCATAGCGGGCCTTTTTACCCTTGGGGGTTCAGCCATTCGCCTCCGAAGCAGGAATGAAAAGGAAAAACACTTTCGTCTGACATGTGCTTTTCCACCTCCGCTTCCTGTCTAACAAAACAATTGCCCTCGGTCTAAAGCTTTTGGGGGGGGTTGCTGCTGTTCCTTGAATCGTTCGTCGATGATACGAGGTAAGGATGAAGGGTAGCAAGCAGATAAAAACACATATCTGGATCCTGAACGCCTCGCCTGTCCAATGCTGTGAAACACCAAAAGAGAAAACAAGGAAAAGAAAGTGAGAGATGGAGTGGTAGTGTGAGAGATCGAGTTTGCAGGGTGTGATTTGTAGTCGTCGTATGCAGTGGACGATCATCGGGTGTGATTGGCCCGTTGGAAGTTGCTGCGCTGCGTTGCGTCGCAGTGCTGTCCGACAGCTTGTCGTCGGATATTTGGTTTCTTTTCGCATCCTTGCCGAATCGTCGCAGGATGGTCTCGTGATTCGTTATGCTCATGTGGAAGGCGACGGCCTCACAACCGCCTGTTTAGGCGAAGAGGGCAGGTCGCCGTTGAGCAGCAGCGGGGGAGAGGAAGTGCTCGTCGAAATTGTCAAAGGGGTCCCTCTCGTCGTCGTCGGCGGCGGAGGGCATGGGCCGGCTGCCGCCGTCGGAGGAGGGCCTGCGCGAGGTGCCGGGGCTGATGCCGCCGTGGATGCTCGACCGGCGGCTGTCGCAGCGGTTGCCAAAGGTAAAGGTGAAACCGGAGAGCATCTCCTGGTGGCGGAGGTTGACCTCGGTGAAGGGCTTCTCGCGGGGGTCGACGGCCGACTTGCTGGCCTTGGCGCCACCTCCGTAGAGAGTGGGCAGGCTGAGGCCGGCGAAGAGGGGCTTCTTGGCGGGCTTGTTCTTCTTCTTGAGCCACGAGGGGACGCCCTTTTCTGGCCTGTCGTCGGTCATGCAGGGTGCCGGCGTGTCGTCATCGGAAGACGAGTTCGTGTTGCTGCTGGCGTTGCTGGACGAGTCGGAACGTGGCTTCCAGGAGAAGGTCTTAGCCAGGCGCTGGAAGGACGTGGTGGACGAGTTGGAGTGGTGGCCCGAGGCGGCGGAGGCGGTATCTGATGCGTCAGACTTGCGGACGCTACGGCGGAAGTGGTCACGGATAGCCATTGTGGTGGTAGTTTGTCGTGTCGACGGGTAGATGGATGTTGAGGAAGCTACGGCCACTTATGGTGCACGGTGCTGCGTTCGTGATGTGCAGACAGGCAGGCTGTAGTGCGGCGTGTTGAGGAGAGTGATCAACAGGGGAGCTCGAGTCATCGGAGAGTAAGCAACGTGAGTGTGAGAATGCTTGAATAGGAAGACGACAGGCAAACGATAGCGTCGAGGGGCAGGGCGGGATGGTTTAATAATAACACGAGGCTCCGGCGGAACGGACAGGCCGGGGGGGACGGCAGGCTTAAGACGACCATCACGCAATGGACGTTGATGGGCGTTTCCGTAGGGGTGGCAAGGTTGAAACCGGCACAGCCGTTCGCTCTTGCTGGAGTAGGTACCTACGAATACAGTAACT